GATCGCCTAAGCCCAGCAGTTCGAGGCTGCAGTGACAGTGAACATGCTACTGCACTCCAGCCTGGGCAATAGAGTGAGACTCCAACTCAAACAAAAAGCTGATGATGCACCTTTTTTTTTTTTTTTTTACCACCATTAATTCCTAATCCTCTGCTGACATTTTCAGTTATGAATTTGGTCCCAAATGCACAATAATAAATTTCAAATTATATAGCAAAATATAATCTTAATGTTGATGATCATAAGGGTATTTCACCTTATCTTCACCTCCAAATTGATCTCTTGCTTTTCTTAGGGTTTGTTGCTCTGCAGCGAGGATGCTTTTCAGAAAATGTTGCATATTGGTGAAGAGGAGAAGATCTTTGTTTTTCTTAATATACTGTAGAGAGTGTGGAGTACAGAATTAATATCCTGTTCCCATTTATTTTAAGTATTCTTGTATCTTCTTAGCCAGAATATAGACCTGAGAGTACTATATACAATTCTGCTTTCAAGATAAAATGAGATCTCTTTGTAGACAGTGGTTGACAGAAGACTAATATTCCAGCTCTGCAACCATTGCTGTGTCTAGGGTAAGTTTTTTTTTTTTTTTAAACACTTCTAATTTCAACATCCTCATCTGTAAATTAGGAATAAAAATAGCTTCTACCTTACAAGGATATGGGAAATATTAAATGAGATAATGCCTGTAAAACTCTTTTATCTGGCAGGTGGCGTGTAAAAAATGTTTGCTATCATTTGTCTGGTAGGTTGTGATTTCAGTACATAGCATCAGGGTCCATATAAATCTATTTATTCATTAACACAGTAAATGCATCGAACGCCTACTGTAAGCCTGGCACACAAACAAGCATCACTGCCCTCATGGAATTCTCATTCTTGCAGTGAAAGAAAAGTCATAAACAACAGTGTAAGTAAGTAAATGATGTAGTATGTTAAGAAGTGATACAGGAAAAAGAAAAGTAGAGCAGAATAAAAGAAAACTGAGTTGGGGGCACAGAGGGTTGCAAGTTAAGATGGGATAGTTATTGAGAGGGTGGCATTTGAACAAAGACAAGGAGATAAGGGAGTCACGCAGCCTCTAACTCCTTAGTTTCTCAGCCTCGGCACTATTGACATTTTGGGATGGATAATTTTTTGTTGTGGGAGCTGTCCTACGCATTGTAGGCTGTTAGCAGCATCCCTGACCTCTACCCACTAGCTCTCAGTAGCATCTCCCACAGATAGACTCAAGGAGTCATTGGCATATAGTTAGTATTATAGTAAGCCAAGCAAAAGATGATGGTGGCTTGCACCAGGGTAGTAGCGGTGTAGTTGATGAGCCATGATCAGATTCTAGGCATGCTCTGAAGGTAGAACAATGGAATTTCCTGATGGATTGGTTGCAGAGTGTATGTAACATAGACAGGTTTCAAGAAAGACTTTGGCCTGAAAAACCGTAAGACTGGAATTGTCATAAACTGAGATGGGGAAGGTTTTGGGTGAAGCAGATTTAGAAAGATGACCAGAAATTGGGTTTTGGAATGTTGAGTTTGAGATACTTGTTAGACATCCAGGTGGAGATGGCCAATATGCAGTTGGATGTGTGAGTTTAGTCAGAGAGTTGACTTGGGGCTGAAGATACATAGTTGAGTCATTGGCATATAAATGGGATTTAAAGTTAGAGACTGGATAAGACTCCCAAGGGGTGTAAATATAGACAGAGAAGGAGATGGGACTGAATCCTGGCTTTCCAACACTAAGAGGTCAGGGAGAAGAGGAGGGTTCAGCAAAAGAGACTGAGATGGAACAACTAGAGAGGTCGGAGGAAAACCAGGAGGCCAGTATCTTGGGAGCCAAGTGAAGAAAGTGTATGGAGGAGGAGAAAGTGGTTAGATGTGTCAAATGCTGCTGATAGATGAAGACAGAGAGTTGACTGTTCTCTGATTTGTGAGAGTTGAGGACTTATGACTAATGTCACCATCAACAGCTATAAAAAATAAATCTCTGACTCGGTAATGAATAGAGATTCCATCATAGAGACATGCGTCTGGGACATTTACTTAGTAGGAGTGAGGAGTTCTAGAGTCTAGACTCAGAACTACCACTATGAATAACTTCATGACTTTAGGCAAATTCTTTACTTTGTTTTAAATTATATGAAGTGGCTAGCATATGTATGCTACCTAATTTACAGGATTGCTGTGCAGATCAAGTGATGCAATATATATATAAAAGTGACTTTGAAAATTGTAGTTTGATATACATAATGAAAAAAAGATATGCTCTTGTTTTTATTTATTTATTTATTTATTATTTATTAAGAAGACAGAAAATCTCCCAAGTGGGAGAGGACTCAAAAAGAGGGTTGCCCTGCTCTTGTTTATAATTCAAGATCATCCTTGACCTTCAAAGGATTGACCAATAATGGAGGATGATATTTTTTAAGATCACAGACTTAATTTTATGACCTTTTATTTTTAATAGTTGAAATTCTGAAATAATGCTTTCATTCAAGTGCTCTAAATAATACAATATTAAGAAGAATATCATTGTCAACCTTGCACAGAAAACAGCAAGACATAAGTTTGAGTAAATATGCTACCACTTAGGTGTCTAAATTCAGTATGAGTCTCAGTGAATTTCACAGATCGAATTCTGCCCACTTATTGGTAATATGCCAGTGAGACATGAAATTAAGTAACTGTGGACCCACTTTTGTAATTCCCATGATGCAAGCAGTCACGTAACCATCGTCTACCCTTTAGAATACAGGATTTAAAAACTATTGTTGTATGTGGTTTGAGATGTAAGCTGAGTGTCAAGGCAGTGTACCATCTAGGGAGGCCAGAAATATCTGGGTAGGCCATACACTGAGGCATTTACTCAATGAAGAAGTCAGTTTTAATCAAGTCCATGTGATACACATGATAAAGTTTGTTACCTCTTCTGATGATTCTGGCTCCAGGCGAGACTCGTGCTTCATTTCAATGAGTGGAGAGAGAAGATCTTTTTCTTTTTCAGAGATAGGCTGCTCTTCTAGCAGGAAAGCACTTATGCTTTGGTCAAGCTTACTATCCCAGGAAACTGCTGACATTCGCAGAGTGACAGAGAATGCATCCCTGAAAAAGGCCTTCAGTCCCTGGCCAAGGAAGAGAAGGTGAGAGGGGGACAGATCAACAGGGCTTCTAAACAATTGCTATTAAAGCTTTAAAATAATAGTTGCGCCAATGGGACTCAAGTAGATTTGAAATATTGCAAAGCTTAAAGCCATTATTATTCTGGGCGATAGGGACTGAGTCACAGAGAAAAAGACGCAAAGCGCCTCATGCATGTAATAAATACCTCATAAAATGCCCTCTGAAAGGCAGGGTTGGCATCCTGGTGGGGTTCCCCAGCAGCAATGTGGGCCAGGCAGCGGATCAACAGCAGAACGAAGCTTCCTACAGATGCCAAACACTCTCTCCCAATAAATAGTGTGTTTTCATCACGCTGATTGGAGAATATACCCATGCAGAGATGTCAACCTCTGGGAACATTTCCACTATCCCTTTCTTTTTCTAGGTTTATGGTATATGGTCTAAATTAAGACTCTCTGGACCTACTAAAAATTTACTAAAGGAAAGATTCAGATGACCAGGGGAAAATTATTGTTTTGGTCTAGCTCTAAGTCATTTTCTCCACTGTCACTTAATTTTTCCTGCTACCTCCATTTTGTAGAAACATGATTTGAAATTCAAAATTACTTGTGTATCTCTCAATGTCCTCCAATCACTGCTTCCTTAAGCAGCAGTTCTCAAACTTTAATAAGAATCACGCAGGAGTGATTCTGTTCTTGCAAACTGTCCCAGAGTTTCCAGTTCCATGGGGTCTATGCATTTCCATTTCACCAAGCTCCCCAGGGGGTTAACACAGGAGGTCCAAGGGACAGTTTGAGACTCATAGCTTTAGGGGGCTCTCAGGCTTTTCTTTGTCTTCCAAGCCTTTATTGTAATCAAGTTCTCAAATCACCCTTCTTGCCTAATTGATTTGAAGTAACTCCCTTGTTCATTCTCTTAAGGGGCAGTAGGTTGGCATGGAAAAAAACTAGGTAATTTGGCATCAGACAAGTTGAGATCTGTTTCTTGAATCATCTGTGAGTGGCAGCACAGACTAACGGTGGAGAGAATGAATTTTTAGTGTCAAATACGCCTGGACTTGAGTGACAACTCTTGCTAACACTGTGATCTTGGGATGGGGGGTGGGTTACTTAGCTTCTCTGGGCCTCAGTTTCCTAATTCATAAGATGGAGAGTACAAGAATACCTCCCCAAAGTGTTGATGCAAGTTGCAAATGAGATCATGAGTGTGAGGCACCTGGTTGAGTATTTGGCATACAGCACTCAGTGAGTCCTGAGTTTGTTTTCCCATCAGTAATATGGGATGAAATTCTCTTCTACTCCATAGAGTCGCTTTGAAGATCGAGAGAAATAATATGTGAGAGTACCACATATAAGTCATTTTTGTTCTCATTAAATTCCCTAACATTCTGCCAGTCAAGTCGAAACCATCTTCTATTCATCCAACATTGATCAGCAGTTCCTTCTCTCAGAATTGTTTACCAACTGTCTGTCCCAGTGTTTAAGGTCTACCTACACTTGCTTAGCATTACCAGCAAGGTGCTTCCAATCCATCTGTTTGAGGAACCACCAGGACAGGAACAACTTGGACTCTTTGCTGACTGTGCAGGATTTCCTGAAGTTGGAACCGTGACGCTTACGGAAAATACCAGTCTGGAACTGCTGGCTTTGATAATGACAGAGATCTATTAATGGGCACAAAGCCATTATGCTTCTCTGGGCATAAGCCAGGACATATTCATTTCACTGATTAGAGAAAGCTTTTACATGATGACATTTATTATGCCTTAGCTAAATGACTTATTTCCAAGAGGGGAGGATTAAAATATATCAGGATTTGAGAAAGAAAAAGGTTTTATAAAAATTGTTCTTTTCACTTTTGTTTATCTTTACTAGACCCCAGAATTTTATAAGTCACATCTGGAAATGGATTTGCAGCACCTGATAGAAGAAGGCATCTTGGAAGGCATTGCCTGAGACTTCCATGGCAGAAAGATGAGAAGAAATCTTTAGGGTGATTTCTTGAGCCTGAAAAGAATAAAAAGTAAATACAAACAAAACTCATCTTTTTGCTAAAAAATTCTTGTGCAACTCAGTTACGTAGCATCAACCAAATTGACGGGAGGTAAATGCATTGAAGCATCAATTTAAATTGTAACAGGGTAAGTAGATTCAGTATACAGTATAGGAAAATGGAAGGAGTATTTGACTGTGTACTGTGTATTTAATATTTATGTCAACTATGACCATCAATTTGCTACTTTTCTAAATAGTGGTGGACTAGACTGGCAGTCAGGTACGACGGCTCTTCCTGACTCTGCCGTTTTAACTGTGTGATCATGGGTAAATTTACCCAAACTCTTTGTGTCTTTCCCCCTCAATTTTAAAATGGGAAGATAACAGTATCTGTGTCATAAGGTTTTGATGAAGATTATATGAATTGATTCCTGCAAATAATTAGAACATTTTCTGGAATGTAGAACGTGCTTAATTCATTCCACCTATGATCAATATGATTTGAAAAATCATACTTTAGATTAGTAATATAACTCCTATCAATCCCCTTAAAGGAGAAACTAGAAAGTTCACAACCCCAGGTGCTTGATCCTAGGGAATATTTGCCATCTCAAAACTCCTTTCCTGGCCACCCTGATCTTCTTGACTCCACAGTGGCTTCTCCACAGAGAAGCCAGACTTACATTAAGCTGGGGAATGAGAAGGTGCAGGATGGAGAGGCCATACTGGTAAACCACAAACTCCCTGGCAGAAAGGTCTGTGGGTTGCACGGTTATCGGCTCATCTTTTTGCACAGCCTGAGGTTTTAGCAGATTCTGCAAAGAGCTTTTTAGGTCTACAGAGAGCAAGAGAAACCAGTAACAATTTTATTGACTTTTCTGTACAGAAGTGATATGTAAACAACAACAACACAACTGAGTTTAGGGAAAGGCTTATTTGTAACCATCCATTTATTCAACCATCCACCCATCTGTCCATCCGTCCGTTCGTCCGTCCATCCATCCATCCATTCATTCATCCAACCATCCATCCATCCATCCATCCATCCATCCATCCATCCATCCATCCATCCATCCATCCATCCATCCTCCTATGCTATATATACCCTGTGTCTCAGGCTCTCCTTGCTATCTTTATGGAAATATGACTGAGTCTCAGTCAATAGGAATAGAGGGTCCAAGACAGAACGAGGGTCCAGAAATCATGGCAGCAGATTTTATTCTATATGATTGAGTTGTTGGGAACGTTAAAGGCAAGGCACTCAGAACAGCGTCTGGCACACAGTAAGCACAAGTGAATTTTAGCTGGATTAAGAATCTTACTTCCTCACAAAATTGCCTCTAATGGGCCTTAGGTATTGAAAATTTGCTATTGTCCTTCTATTCCTGTGAGGGCAAGAAAAATAAAGGTGTGTGAATTGAAACAGACTCAACACTACTGACTTAAAAAAAAAAAAGAGGGCTGAATTAGCTGTCTGAAGACCCATGCTCCGTCTTAATACCCCAAGAAAGTCACTTAACTTCTTTGTTCATAATTTCTCTCATCTATAAAAGGGTAGTTAATAATCTTCCGCTATTAGGGTATCTACGTAATGAACATTTGTATACCTAACCCTGAATTGTACCCCACATCCTTAAAATAAAAAATTGAAAAAAAAAAAAATCTTCCACTATCTTAAAGAATTAGAATAGGGTTTCCAAATGTGAATAAGACAATGTATGTTAAATTGCTTTCAAAATTGTAAGGCCAACGTAATTGTAAGACCCAAGGAGTTTGAAGTGGGGTTGGAGACTCTTAAAGGAGGGCCCATGTCTCTACTCATCCTCTTCTTACTTTCCACCCAAAGGCGGAGGAATTAATAACAATACAGGCCAAGTTCTGGAGTCAGTAAACTCTTTCTGTAAAGGGCCAGATAGTATTTTAGGCATTGCCAGCCAGCAGCCAAAATTGGGGTTCAGAGTTATGTTCTCTGTCATTGTGGTAGAAGCATGGCCTCATTCTCCTACAAAACCTTCTCCTGCTACTTTGGTATACGGTGACCTGCCCTTGTGGGAACTCACCAGAATGTGTTACCTGCATCTTTTTTTTGGCATTGCCCTTAAAGTGTCAGGTAATTTTTCATTTGGGGAAGCACAGGCTCTGGAAAAACATTCCCTGAGAGTGAATTCCAGCTGACCTCCTCATTAGCAACATGAACCTTGACTACTTGCTTGATCTGTCTAGGGGCTTAGTCCCCTTATCCACAAAATCAGTAATAGTACCCTCTTTACTAGGTTGTTGTAAAGATGAAATGAATTGATATTTCTAAAGATTTAGATGTGGCGTATTGTAAAGCACTCCATACACATTTTATTCTTCTTTTAACATTTTCTTTTCATAGGGTTGTTAAAAAATATAGAACAATTCTTAGCTCATGGCCCAGGCACAAACAGGTAGCAGGCTGGAGTTGGCCTGTGGGCCATAGTTTGCTGATCCCTGCTCAAGTTCAGGAGTGTTCATGGAGCTATGCTTACTAGGGGCCTGCATCATGGTCTACTGAAAGGCACGTATTTGTTCTGTTACTTCTCTTCTACTTAGGGCTGAGTTTTCTGTTACTTCTCTTCTACTTAGGGCTTCAGTGTGTGAGTTGAAACAGACCCAACACTTTCAGGCAGGTGAGGCACATTCTCTCGACTTCCAGTTCCAAGGGGTGGTATTGGTAAAGTGATCTTGGGTCTCTTTTGGAGGCAAGATCTTCTCTTTCTCTGTTTTTACCCCCTGTCTCTCACACCTTTCCATAAATACCTTATAACTTGGGGCTGGGTGGTATGGGGTAGAATCCCAAGGTTTAGATTCAGTATTTGGTGGGAAGGTAGAGAGCCTTTAGGAATTCCCTTTTGGAAATTGGCCATGTTTAATTACAGTGGTACTTTGATTCCTATATGTTGTTCTTATATGGAAATATCACTTGGGAATCTTAGCGTGGAGGTGGGAAGAAAGGGTTGTTTGGTGGATTCTAACACTCCTATTCCTGGGGATTATACCATCATACATATCTTTAGCATCCCATGATGATTCCAAACATGGGCTACCAGGGAAAAGGAGATTACTTGGTATGTGATGCACTTCAGCTTCTTCCTTGTGGGCTTGGGACCACATGTCTGTTTTCTTTAGGATGGAGAAAAATGGTGAGGTCCAGATAGTGTCAACTTTATCTGCATCTGAACAGAAGGGAATAAAATAGTTATTGGGGTGAAGGTGTAGGAATGTGGCCAAAGCCAAAATGAGCCAGATAGGTGATAGGCAACCTTTAAGGTGGCCCCGATGACCCCCCCGCCGTGTGTACCCATGCCCTTGTGTAACCCTCTCCCCTTGAGTGTGGTTGAATTTAGTGGTTCACCTCAAATGAACAGATTGTGGCACTTCTGTGACTAAGATACAAAGTGATGGAATGGCACTTCTGAGGCTAAGATACAAAGACTGGCTTCCATGTTGCTCACCCTCTCTCACTCTCTTGCCTACCTGCTCTGAGGGAAGCCAGTTGCCATGCTGTGAGCTGTACGTGGAATCATGTGGCAAGGAGTGTCTCTGGCCAACAGCCAGCAAGGACTTGAGGTCTGCCAACAGCCACAGAGTGAGCTTGGAAGTGAATCTTACCCCTGCCAAGCCTTGACATGACTACAACCCTAGCCAACACCTTGACTGTAGCCTGCATATGACCCTGAGCCAGAGGCACCAAGCAATGCTTCACCCAGATTCTTGACTCAAAGAAAATATGAAAAAATAAATGTATGTCACTTTAAGCCATACAATTTTGGGGTAATTTGTTACACAGCAATGGATAACTGATACATTGGGTTTCTTTATGTTCTTCCTAAAGAACCTACCACGGTCATGTGTCTATGGTGCCTGAAGCCCTAATTCTAGGATTAGGACTTTCAAAACATGACCAGGATTGGCAGCAGAAGGAAATTCTGGAAGGCTAGTATCCAGCCTTACCTGTTCCTGGCCTCTGATCCTCCAGCCCTAGGCCGTGGCTTTGAGCTCCCGCTAACACAGCAGTGAGGTGATTCAGGAACGGGATCAGTAGGGGGCAGGCAGCAGCCTGGTCCCTGAGAGAAGTGGTGACTGTTCCATAGAACATGTCTCCGGGGTAGTTCTCCAAACACACGGGGGTTCCTGAGACAATCAGCTAGGATGAAATGGTCAGAACTGAGTTCCGTGCCTGGTTCCCACCTGTCCCACGTGGCTGCTTCGGCAGTTTCTCTCTGCAGCCCCCATCAAAGATGGAACTACACGTCACCTCGGCCAAGCTCGGAGATCAGTACCTGGGTGTGCAAGAGCTGGAGGCGGCTCAACTCCCGCTGGTACTGCAACTGACCGAGGGCCCCATCCAGGAAGTACTGTCTCTCCCTCACCACCTCCTGAAACTCATCCAAGAGATGCTGCACCACCTAGAACACAGGGAAGGTCATGCCCAACCCAGGCGGACCTTCTCTCTCTTCCCTCTCTTTCCTTTCCCAGCCCATCTGCTGTCCCTTGAGCCCGTGCAGCCCACGTGTCTTCAGTACATTGCCCTGAAGAGCCACACCGGATGTCATGGCAGGATGTGCTCATTGCACGTGGCTCCCCTGCCAGTGTCCGAGCCTTACCTTCCTGGGACGGTTCCAGACCCGTGGGCTCTGACTTCTGCGCTGTTGCAGCCATGTCTCCTCCTCCTGGCCCTGCAGCCGGCCGGCGGCTTGCCTGAGCTTTTCTGCTGCCTGCCCTAAACTCTGCAGGACCCTCCGTATGCCCAGCACCACCTGTGCCTCCTGTTCCCACTCCTCTCTGTCTGCTGCAAAGGGCAGAGAAGAGGGTCACGTGGCAGTGGCCACCACCAGGCATGGGGAGGAGAAGAAAAGCCAGTAATTTATTGGAGCTGGGGAATCTGCCAGGTAAGAACCAAGGCCTGGCTGGAAGCCTGGGAGAGATGAGCTCATTAGGAAGACAAGGGAGATCCCCACTGGGCAGCTGTGGGTGGTGGCAGTTCTCCCAGGAGATGTCTGCATGGGTATGTGG